CTTAGTTGCTTAGAGTTGCAGCTGAGAGGCCGGCAAGTCAGGCGGGGAATGTTGGAGTTCTCCGTCACTGAAGCAAGCAAGCCTCCCTGTTCACATCAGTTGCCTGGCTGCTGGCCGCCATCTTGGCTGCCAGTTAATTTGCATATCTCAGCCCTACTCTGTGAGTGACAGGGGGATTAGCCAATGGGAAGGGTAGCGGAGTGACACTAATTACCATGTTTCTCTTTTATTAGTGTAGATTAAAAATGTTTACACAATAGAAAAGGCAAATAAAGTGATAGTATTATTAAGAAGATAGTTTTGACTATGCAGACTTACTGAAAGGGTCTGGAGGACACCCTCAAGGTTTCGTGGCCATACTTTGAAAACCTCTGCTTTAAATTAACAGTAGGTTGAAATCTTAGGCTGTATGGTATGGCAGTTGGCAATGAAGAGCTTGCCTTCTGAGATAAAGTCCCTGGACTCAAAATCTGTCTTTCCTTGACTGTGTGACACAGAGCAAATTACAGAACCTCTCTATACCTCAATTTCTTTATTAATAAACTAGAGGCCCAGTGCACAAAATGTGTGCCCTGGGGGTGTGTGTCCCTCAGCCCAGCCTGCACCCTTTCACAATCCGGGACTGCTGGTTCCCAACCCCTCACCTGCGTGCCTGCCCGTTACTTCCCGAGGTGCCATCCCTGCGAGGAGGTCCGGGCGGCACGGCTCTGGGGCGTGGGGAGGACGCCGAGGGCTGGGCTAGCGGTCAATTTGCATATTACTGCTATTATATAGGATGGTGATAGAAATAGTACCCATCCTGTAGGTTATTTTGAGGTTTAATTAGTTCAAAGAGTGAAACACTTTAAAGAGGAACTGGCTCATAGTAAACATTCAGTTACTGTAAGCTGCTACTGCTATTATTATTTTTATTAACATGTTCTTTTATAATAAAGCTAAAAGATTTCTATGGATAGGATAATTCTCTTTCTCTAACTTTTTATATCTCTTAAAAAGTTTGACACTGGCTGGTATGGCTCAGTGGCTGAGCATTGACCTATGAAGGCCATGGTTCTATTCCCAGTCAGGGCACATGCCCAGGTTGCAGGCTCGATCCCTGGTAGGGGGCCCTTAACTGCCCTCCCCTGACTGCCATCTTGTGGCGGCCATCTTTTGACCACATGAGGGCAGCCATCTTGTGCGAGTGTGTGTGATGGTCAATTTGCATATTACCTCTTTATTATATAGGATTCGTTTCAGGTGTACAGAATACTAGTTATACAATGATACACACTGAGTGGCCAGATTATTATGACCACCTGACATTTGTAGGGAAGTTAGCAATAATTTCACACTGAAGTTGCTAGAGTGCCAGACCATTATAAATAGGGAAGCAGGTTGTTTATCACGACAGTAGAAGTGGTTTTTTTCTGAAGATATGCGTAAACACGATTTAACAGCCTTTGAACATGGGATTATCATTGGTGCTCGGAACCATGGAGGGAGTATCAGCAAAACAGCCAAAGGTCTGTTCAAACACCTTTGCTGTCGGCAGTTACCAAGATAAAACGTCTCCAATTTCCGGTCCTGGCATGATGTGGGCTCTTTAATTCGTGTGGAACAATGTCTGAATAGCACAACATACCTAAGTATCATTGCTGATCAAGTTCATCCTATCATGTTGATAGCGTATCCCAATGGAGATGGCTTCTTCCAACAAGACAATGCACCATGACACAGTGCTTGTATTGTGCAGGTGTGGCTTCAAGAACATGAGGGAGACTTTACCTTGCTTAGGTGGCCCCCACAATCACCAGATCTCAATCCAATTGAGCATGTGTGGGGTGAAGTTAAAAGAGCCATCAGGCAGGTGGTTCCACAACCATCAAATCTCACAGAACTTGACAGTGCTATTCATCAGGCCTGGTGTCAGATTCCTCGCATCACCTTTCAGCATCTCGTGGAGTCAATGCCCAGAAGAATTGCTGCAGTATTGAAGGCAAAAGGTGGCCCAACGAAGTAGAATGGGGCAAAAGGTGGCCCAAGAAAGTACTGATGGGGTGGTCATAATAATCTGGCCACTCAATGTCTGTCTGTCTGTCTGTCTATCTACCTATCTATCTATCTATCTATCTATCTATCTATCTATCTATCTATATGTTTATATACCTATATATGTTTATATATCTATATTTATACATATTTATATATCTTTAAATACACATTGACACTATATTTTGCATTGTGGACCTTCATTTAATATTTGTTGATATGAAAAGAGTATTTAGTTTCTGGTACATAAATAGATGCTTCTCAAATACAGTTATAAGAAGTGTTCTCTTAATTTGTATGATTTCTTCTTAAAACTTTGTTTATATTGTGTACATCTTTATTCTCAATGGGGAAAGGATTTACCAATTTTAAATTAGTAGATTCTGGATTCTTTGTAGTTAGACAATTAGTGGTCCTGAACATAATCTTGTAAAGAACCTTTAGAAAGGTTTAATTGAATGTTCACATTTCCCACACGTTTATTTATACATGTTATTTCCTGATCCCTGTTAAAACCTAAGACTAAAACGCACGAATGTTCTAC